ATAGTTCAACGTTCTACCAGCCAGCCGCTCATTTTTGTGCTTTGACAAAGTTCTATTTAAATTTCGCCATGTCTGAGTCTCTTCAATACTACTTTAAATTATTTTATTATGTTTTGCTATGATTTCCTTGGTTTTTATAGCTTCGCTCTTATATTCTCAATTTTACGTGTATTTTGCCTATTTAATTAAGTTTTCACATTTCGATTGCTTTACAAACAAATAATAAGCGCTTACAATTTGATTGAACTCTTCTGGTAAAAAAAAATCAGTTTTTAATTCTAATTAGCTTGTGATATAATTTCGCTTAGTGCTACAAGTGGACCTACAGAAGAAGAAGGAACTTTGAATAAACAATAATAGCGAATAGTTAAAAAATATGTAAATTTGTGTTTTCTCCTTGTTTCTGCAGGGAATATTTAGTGGGAGTGTAATTAAATTAGTAATGGAAATGCGTTAGAAGCTCTCGGTTGTCTAGTCAAAACTTCTGGAACCTGCTGTGCCAGTCGTTGAGGCACCAGTGAGTATTTGGGGCATGTTCATCAACAATTTTTTGCAACAATTACGCCGCCGGAAACCAACATTTGCTCTCCTTGAAGACCAAGAAAATTTAGTTAGATTTTGATGTATTGTAGAAAGTGACTTTGGCGAACTTCTGTGCTCAGTGACATATATTTTGTAACGGTTTAAAGGATTGGTGAGGTGATTTCTATCTGGGATCTGGTTCTTGCCTATTAGAAAGATATGGAATAAGCGAGCTAAAGCCATAACGTAACCATCGATTGTCATTGTGCGGACTTCCTTGATCAATCACTTTCTATTATTACACACTTGAGTTTCCACTCGTGTCCAAGATCGTCCAAGATTACTGCATGTTACCTAAGAAGTGTGTTACTGTGCAATTGGAAATCGTGAGGTTGATTTCTATTGCTTCTTCCTGTTCTATTCTATTCCTCCTCGCTTGCTTGCTGGATTTAAGTTAACTTTTATTTTCCAACAAACCAAAGAACCCACACTTTTTTATTAGGAGTTTCTATCCAGTGCCAATGGAAAAGGATTAGAGTTAAATCCAATTGCCGCAAGGAAAGAATGTGCTTCAAATTTATCCTGTATTAGTTTTGACCCTACATTACTTTAAGTTTAGTGCTGCGATTGTTTCATCACTAACCATACTTCAAACGTAGGACATAAAGATTTAAAGGAAATACATAAAAGACAAGTTATCACCATTCAAATATACATGCGCACATATTTGCTTTCAGCTCCTACGCTCATTTTTTTGTGTCCCTCACGTTCATTGAACTTACTTATTTGGGCGACGGCCTCCCGTTACAACCCTGCAGGGGATAATACTAGTTGTCAATAAGAATCCAACTAGTTTACATTTCATCTTCCAACTATTTTCCATATAAGCAACTGGCATTTTTAACACGGCGATGTTCTACGAGCTGAAAATTTTCCTACTATGTATCAGCCTCATACCAGCTCTATACTAGTTCATTTAGGTATGTTGAGTTTCTACTTCACAAAAAAAAAGAAATAAGAAAATAAAATAACATATAAATGAGTTTGTTGGATGCGAGAATCGAACTGACTCCCTCATGCAGTACAGTGAGGGATATCGTTATATTTCAAAAAACAGCGAAATATGCACACTAAACAGAACATTTTAGGAAATGAAACTCACCGGTGACGTACTAAAAAAACAAGAACATAAGAACGAAGGAGTGGTGAAAATTTCTGGTTCACCAAAAATTGAAAAAAAAAGTTAATTATCTTCTAGCGGGACTTGAACTTGGAGCCTAACGAGCTACAGCAATGACCTTATCTACTTGGCTATCATGACGATGTAACGACCAACGCCATTTCGCGCACTGGACAATGTAAAAGAGCAGAGAACAGAATTCAGCCACGGCGTAGTATTATTTCACCGGTTACTGGTAGACTTAGTTACAAATAACGAACTGGTATGATTTCATCTTCAAAATACCAGTTTTTAACTAGAAATTTTGCATAATAGCTGGTGTTTCCCTGCAGGGGTGTTATATGTATACATAAGTGTGTGCATAGCAGTGTGAATGACTTTCATACACATGTATGTACATAAATACCATGAGATTGGTGTGCGGTTATGCAGATAGAAATTTTAACAATATACTTATATTTATAGTACAATGGCAGCACAAATTGAATTTTGATGGTTTTGTTCAGCGGTAGGCCATTTACACGTGCAGTTGATATTGGAGTGGCAAAGCGAGAAATACATACGCTAGGATGTTGGTAATTTCATAATCGTTTTTAAACTTTGATAGAAGTACTATAAACACTGAATAGTGAGATAATTACTTAGGTAGGGGATATAACGTCTTTGTAGTAAATATGTATATGTACATATGTAGACATGTATATATTACATATTAGCATATCCTTTTCATATTCCAGTTCATGGACAGGAATGGAGTGGAAAGTGATTCTCAAATACAGAAAGCATATGAATTTGAGTCTGTCAGTTCCTTATTTATTTATTATTGAGACTCAACTGCTTACTACGTGCACATGTATGTACGTTTGCAGTTGTATTGGCGCGGAGGCCTTCTGTAGAGTACCTCTTAAGTGTAAAAGTCAGTACAAACAACCACAATGATTTTAAATGGAAGATTTTGTGTAAGGATGAGACGGCCCAGGGGCAGTTTATATTCATATATTTACGAATTTCATATTGAAATATGAGCGCCTTTCACTTTCTTGCACATAATTGAGCATATGTATGTATGTATGTTTGAGTGTTCTTTTTGAAAATTATAGCTTTAGTATTTAAATGTCTCATTACTCTACAATTTTCCCATATGAGTGCTGCAATTTCGTTGAATGCTATGTATATATATAAACCTATGTACATACAAATGCCCATGTTTTATATGTATGTATGTATGTATATCAGTTTTTATTATTTTACTATAGCTTTGAAGACATGTTTATATGTTAAAAAATACACACATACAGAAGTGTTTCACCCAATGCAATCAGACACTTACAAATATATGCAGATATGCATGAACACACATTTATGTTTGCATACTTATCTTGAGTAATTTGTGTGCGTTTATAGCCGTTGTCGACATCATGTATTGTTAGCAATGAAATATGGGTCGAGTGTCATATTAAAACGCAACTGTGGCAAGTGAGCCAACAGGGAGTTGAAGAATCATATTTATTATGCGAGTATGTGAGTATGTAAGTGTGTAAGTATACGAGTAACAAAAACTGTGCCGTTATGGCCACAGAGTAAGATGAGGCATAATACACCAATACTTACAAAGAGCATATATGCACGTAAGTATGTATATTTTGTTATAGGGTGTACGCATGTGAAAGCGAATTCCGTCAGCAGATGAATACGCTGAAGGCATTTGTTAGCAGTTAAGTATAACAATAAAGAAAAAATCGTAAAATTGCGACGTTTTCTGAGGAAAAAAATTTGTCTGATAATGAACATGTTTATTCAAACTTAAGTGTGTGTACGTACTCATATATGCTGATTCATATACCTTAGCTCAAATATATCTTTATCTAATTTGTTTTTTCCTAATATCATATATATAGTTTTCATGAATTATTAAAAAAAAGGTTGACTAACATATACACTTGGAAAGCGAAAATTGAAAATTCATCAATTGATGTACGAATTTTCATAGAATTGCGTTATATAACTTGAGTGAGTAAATTTTTGCTCACTTGCTGGGAATATAACATTAAATCGGGGGTCTCAAAATAAATTATAATCATGAATATTAAGATTTATGTAAATAAAAATTAAAGTTAATTTTTAGAAAATCGCAAAATTCTTAGGTCGCCGTAAAACGTTTGCCCTAAATATTTTACAATTGATATGCCCTTAGATTATTTTATTGAATTCTTAAGCTTGTTGAGAATAAAAAAATTAATTATTGTAAATTCATGATATTTATATCGCTTTAATTTTGGATAATTCTAAATTGTGCCCACTGGAAAATGTTAAACAGACGAATTTGGCTAACTCAATTCATTTGGTATCAAAAGTTTTACTGAGCTAATACGAACAAGTAGTCTCCTAGAAACTGCATTCATGAGGGTAATATATGTATGCATTGGATAACACTTGACGACACGCGAACTCCAAATAAGTAAGATAATAAGTTCAGTAAAGTGAATAATGGAAGAGTGTTTTGCATGACTCGAATGACCGAACGTTGAAAGTGCAGGACACGTTCATATTTATGTTTGCATATTCTATTGTTTATGTGCCAATTTGAGAGTGCTGCTGTATGAATTTGCAATTTGTGATTTGTTTTCTATTGCTGGAAAATTTATATTCGCTCTCGGTCATCCTTTGAGAGCCACAAGCAACTGTGATTTTGTAGACGAGTATAGTTTGTATTTGAGAAAATCTATAAGCGGAATTCCCCATGGTAATTTCAAAATACGATTTTGTATACAACATTGCAGAAATGGGAATAATTTGTAGTATATTTTGTGGCGTAACTAGAAAAATTATTCATCGACAGTGGCACAATTCACATTGGGTAAATGAAATACAATATGTAAATCAAACAAATCGCTGTCATAAATTCAAATCACAACAATATGATATTAAGCAGAAGAACAAAGGCAGACTCTGACTGGCGACCGCGATTAGAAAAGTTAAAATTGAATGTTGGTCGGGCTCGAGCGCTTGTGGGTAATTACGAAGGACATTGTGGAGTTCAATTATTAGAAGCAGGCATGCGTGCAAAAGAAAAGCTTTCCACGAATATATTATATATGAAAAGCACTTTGATAATTCGAAGGGTTGAATTCGAGAGCAATGAAAAAAATATAAATTATCATAATTAATTGGCTAGTGAGTCTCGGCCCGAACTATTCGTACACAGCAGTGATCAGTGTATATACGTATATGTAAAAGCTAAAAATCATATGTATGTACATAAGAAATTTTATAAAATTTAAATTCCTTTTCGACTTACCGATTCAATGGCTTTTTCCAAACGGAAAATCTCTTCTTGCAAAAGATGTAAAGTTCCTGTTTTTCCACGATGGCGGGCAAAGGCTGCAGCACAGGCGCTGTGGATGCTGTTTACCCAGTTTTCTAGTTCAACCTGGAATTTCAAAATACATATGTATGTAATAACTAGTTACTTAAGTATAAAAAAGACCAATATTTTATTCGATAAACTTGTTTTGTGGAATTTTTGTAGGAGACTATCTGAATTATTTTTCACTCATATTATTGTCCTGTTTACTATCAGAAGCACTTTCTATAGTTATCGTTGTACTACTTCAATACAAATATTATGCTGCATACCGAAAATGCTAAATTTCTTTAACAGGAAAGCCCTTCATTATTGACGGCATCTCTATGCGATTATAAAATATTTTTTACTCTCACTCCATGGGAGAATTCGCCGTTTGTGTGATGTACTTCAAAATGCAGATATAAAATTATCCTTTCGTTCAAAGTTAAGTCGAATGTCGTGCAAAAGTCTCGAGCGGCATATGCTTTTCATAGAAAATAACTTTGCTCGCGATCCATTACAAATACAGGTTTGCCGTAATAAGGTATGGAAGTCGTCTATCACACTAAATACAATATGAATGAATTCAAAACTAATTGAAGTCGGCATCACATGACTTGAATAAGATTTCCATTAAAGACTCCAGTACGATCAAAGTGATGAAAAAGTAAAAACTTTTATAATAAAAAGCAACAAAAATTAAATTGGAGTTAAAGTAAAGCCCGTCTTGGTAAAGCGTTTCTGTGTATGTTTAGTATTCGCGAATATTTGAGATATTTCACCATATTTTCTAAAAGTAGTTTGTATTGAATAAATAACACACACATCACTCCGACAAGATGCACAAAACCAAGTATAAATGCATATCTAATAATGTGTTGCTGGCTCAAGGAAGATTACACGTAAAGTGTATTTTATTCCAAAAATATTTTGTTTAGAGACTTCCTTTGCTGGTACAAATCGCTCTAAGACTTTTGTGACAAACAAGAAGGGAAGCTGTGCTACACGATTTTCGATATTGTATACAATTTCGATTTTTAAGTTCAATGCTAGAATGTGAAGATAGGATTGGCCTCTTGGCTAATTCCATTTATGACATGTAATAAAAGATGCTCATAAAAACCCTCATCTGTTTAGACGCTGCTAGAATAAACTGTAGTCCCTCCTTTTTTTTTGAAAAAAAAAAAAAAATCACAAAATTGGAGGAGGAGCTCTGTTGAAAATCGCTTCAGCGGTTAAAAAGCTCCAATTATGTAAACGAGTTTGTCAATTTCAAAATGGCTTCATTCCTTGCCCTCAACTTTTGATCAAAACATTTTTAATTATATTAAAAATAAAAGCCCCATATGATTAAAGATTTGTCTCTGCTTAAGACAATATTCCTCTTCTTAATATTACCATGTATGAAACTCCATTGTGCATATTTTAATCTCAATCCTCATCCGCATATTTCGCAACTTAAAGTAAAGTCATTTACCACATGTGACTGAAAATCACTTCGGGCACAAAAATTAGTATAAAAGTGCCAAAAACTCGAAGACAAAAGCTTTGGTGTTCATTGCAGTGCACAATGGAAACACGCCCTGGGCTTTGCACATGAATTTTCGACTACTTAAAAGCATATCCAAAGGCGGGTGCGCACATCTTAAATTCAGCACATGGTGTTCTTTGCAGACTTGCTTTATGCTTTTTTGTTTTCATTACTTTCTATGTGCGATCCGCAAGGACATTTTGTAGGCTCGCTTAATAATGTACCTGCATGCCGAGAGCTACGACGACTTATGCATATTCATGCACATATACATACGTGAGAGTTTATAATGTTGGCTTGTGAATTGGCTAGCTGTAGGCAATGACCAGACATATAATTAACGCTCACTACGCGAGCGCTAGTGTGAATAACAGGACTTATGGCTGCACTTCCCTATATATATACATATCTGAGGATTTGGAGTGGAGACTTACATCTAATTGCACTGTATGCAACGCAACACACATATATTTAACTATTAGGTCAGTTACATACTGAGTTGGTACTCAATCTTGAAACATTCCTTTCAATTGGTGCATAGCAGTTTTGTGAAAATTAACAAAGCGTTCTCCTTTTGAGGTCAATGTACACCCTAATATACATACTCGTATATGTATTTTCGAGTATTCATTTTTATTTGCTGTTGCTGTCACATTTGCTACTGGTAATTGGAGCGAGCTCGCAGCAACACCAGAGTGCTTATGTCACATTTGTCTAGTGAACGCTGCATAGTCGTGTTTATGATTTCCAAGGCATTGGCAGTGCTTTAGAAAAGGTCATTTTTCGATTGCGTGTAAAATTGATAACCCCGTCGTTACCGACAGTCTATGAGTGGCATAGAGTTGCCGCCGTATATTTACCCGCTTTAAAATGCAGTGCATTCAAACGCTTGTAATGCCAAACTTTACCATGCATATATGTATATTCAATATTTGTCGTGTGTGTGAGTGTTTGCTAGTCTTGCTGCATGTGTTGTATAAATATCCTGAAACTATGAGCGCTTATGATGTGTTGGTGTATGGGCGTATAAAATTGAACTAACGTAGAACCACCAACTAAATGACCGCGAGCAATGAACTTCAATGGCACTCGCTGCTGACCGTACAGCTTCCAGTTGAGCACTACTTGCTGGTGCTGCTGTGTCGTTTCTATTCATATTTTATCCTTCCTCTTTTATTTACAACACAAACAACTTTTCTGTTCATTGCCTTGACTTATGCGCACATGCGTGTCCACATTTCTATACACAATATACATATAAAATTGTAGAACATAAATATCTACATATGCTTCTTTAGAGTTTTATTATTTTTAGCGTTGGTTGCGTTGAACTTCTTCCCGAATTTTTATATTCATTTCCGTTTAGAATGTTTTCAAATATATTATATTTTAGGACACTGTTCGTTGTTCGTCCCAATTTTTGAATTTATATACACAGTTCTAGGTAACTGATGAGCTATCCACATTCTTCGAGTTAAATCAAAACGTATTCTTTGGATATTTTACTGCTTCGCAACCAGACAAATGGAAATATCCTGCATGGTGTATGAGCTGCAGAGACAATTCAGAGCGAAATTAAGCAGAAATGCATATTTCAAATGATTAGAAATGGTAATATGGGCTATGATAATCTCGGTTGAATCCTTGAATAAAAATTGAATATTATGAGCACTTATGAATATATAAAAATGTAAAAACGTGGAGTTCAGTATTACCATTGAAGACCAAAATGTGACAACAAAGTGATTTTGGAAGACAACATTATTACATTACAACATTATCTTCTAAACTTTTTCTTCTTTACCGGCGTAGGCATCGATTACATTATTATAGCCGAATCAACAAGAGCCCGCGAATTATTCCTTCGCTTCGCTATTGGGCGACAGGAGGACTTGTGTAATTTAGTTTCACTACGTTGATAGAGAACTTTAATTTTCAATTGCCTAGTATGTGTAAAATACCACCAGTTAGCAAAAGTTATTCTGGTTTGGATTTTAAGGCTCTGGAGAGAACAGACCTAACGGAACCGTTGTGAAGGCTTTTGATAGTGATGTCAACGGCAGGCGCCAGCAGTTCTTTTATATATGGCCCAAGCAGCTCACGACTGTTGGTCTTAGACTAAGTATCCTCTGTATAGCCAAAAAAAATCCGTTCGAAGACGAACTAAAGTGAGAAAGCGAACCCCCAACATAACTAGATATATTTGAATAACTGGAAATATTAATGATGTAGGTTAGAATTGATGGACCTCTTTAAAAGTTCCTATATCGACGTAAGTCTGACTTTCATAACTCATTTATGTAAGAGAGAGAAGTTTAGAGATACAATTTATACTAGACTAATTTCCAAAATTGCCACAATTTCACTGCTTATAAGCTTGCAGGCCACACTTTAAGTATTTTTAAAGTAATGTGATAAGCAGGTATGCAAAATATTAGCATTAGGTATATACGAATGATAGAAACGCTTTTGACGTTACACAGTGGGCGACAGTGAAAGCAATAACTCTAATGGATAATGTGCACCTGAATGGATCTACAAATGCATAAATATACGAATATATATCTACATATGTAATCGATGTGTGTTACCAAGTGTGCAAGTCCATATATGTAACAGTGTGAATATAATTGGGTATTTACGTACGTATTCGTATATGTTTGTGCACCTCTTTGTCTATTTATGTATAGGTTCTCTCACCTGACAGGGCGCCTGGAATAGATACGCATCACCGAATGCTGTACTCAAACAGAATATATAATCACGTTTGGGATGTTCCGGTATCGGTTGCATAATTGCACCATCGACAATGATTAGATGTTTTGGTGCCGCTTCTACACTGCGACCCTCACGTGAATCGCATGGATAGAAGAGTAGAGTGGTGCCTTTGAGGCAAACCCAATAGCCTTTCCAGCCTCGTTTGCGGGCCAGTTCGATTTGGTGCTTCTTGCGTAATAACCATTTTTTCACCGATAGGAAACTGGGGATTTAAGAAATGAACGTTTAAAATGATGATATTAGTTTATTTAAAAACATTTCAATTTTTTGGTTTAATTATTTTGTAATTTTGATATTGGTAAATAAAAAAATTATGCTTACCCAGCTTTGCGTACAGCACCAGTACAATTGAATGAGGATGCAGCAGTTCCAGTTGCTTTTGCTTTATATGGTGACGCCATGACACTTTCGCCATCATCTTCATCAGATACGGCTGTAGTTAAGCTCATTCGATCATCATCAGATATCTGCCAAACATACGATTTGTAAAATTTAGTTAATTTTATTATAGTTGATTGCGGTGGATGCAACATAGGAATTCGTAAAATGAATGATAAATGAGGACAATAAGAATATTAATATACAATCCTTTGATTTAAATTTTTAATTCTTGACAGAGTTTCGTAACTGGTATCTTCATTATAAAGACCTTTCGGAATTCACAGTGCTGAAAGTTATTAACATAATATATACATACGAGTATTTATGTGGGGAAGACATTCAGCCGTAGCCGAGCATTTCCCCAAGCGCTTCAAATAACTTAAAATAATAAAAACTGAAACATTTTCGTAAACAAGTCGGCAGTGACATTTATTAATGATAGTAGTCGCGCAGTAAAACTCAGTAATTATAAAATAGATGCCTGATAAATTGAGTTTAATTACATGTCATACATTTAATATTTTTTGCTAAAAGCATTGCAAATGTCAACTTTCATTTATTTGCACCTCAGCAAAAAAACATTAATGGTTCGTGTGAGGACTAACATACGTAATATGTACATATTATAGTATAAAAATAAATAAAAAGACAAAAATAATTTCATAGTTATTTTTAATTTGCTTTCTACGTGTCATTCATTATGTGGACAGGGCAATCCGAACAATTTCAAAAGGAAGAATTTGCTTCATAAGAGTGAGTTAGAAGTTACACAGCAACCAACGGTTAAATCAAATGAATATAAAAAAGTATGGGGTACGAAGTCAAGTTTCCATGCATTACGTTTGTGCATATGGATGGCGATATCTAAATTAAAATTTTTTCATCAACTTTTCGGAGGACTCCAAGACCAGCCAATCTGAAATAAACTCCTAATGAAACATATAAATGCAAATAGGGGAAAGTGTGAGTTTTCGCGAGCTCGCGCGACTCTACATTTCACCAAAAATCAAATTTAATTTAACTTTGAATTTATTTTTGAAATGTATGATGTTATGAGTTCACAGCTGCGGCCATTACATTTAAGCCGAGCCAAATGTTGGTAGCAAACAAGCCGACACTAGTCAAGTTCACAACAATCAGTTTTGAGCAGAGGAAGCAGAGGCGACGAGTTGATTGCATTTAACTTTTCATAATCAGGTGCTGTCATGCTGCTGCACCATCAACGCCTCCCTCCGGCATCCAATAGCAAGCATTTTTTGGTTGAGTGTGCTCTGTCAACACGTTAGCGCCAAAACAAGACAAGAGCTGTGAAGGCCCTTCATGCTGAAAGCTGACTTCAGCAACCTTTAAACGCGATTGCTGTACGGGAAGTCGTCGGCTTTTGTTATTATAGATTTTTGTAACGTTTCCCCCTCTCATTTACCCCGTCCCGATTCGTTTCCACTCGTTTCGCGCTCCTTTCCACCAATTACTCTACCAATTTCTCTCAAGTCATCAACTTTTCGCAAATGTCATTGTTACCGGTGTAATTGCAATTGTTACAAAAATAGTGTGCTCCGCGTGCACAAACAGGAACAGGAGTCAGCGACAGACAGGCCGACAGGCAGTTAACAACAATCATAAAAGTATAAGCTCGCACACATTTCAACTGAGCTCACCTCGCACACTTCCGTCGTCAGAAAGAGCTACCTACTTTTGGGTATTTTTTTCATTTTGCATTTCTCCCCCTGCCCGATGTCAGTTAGTCTCTAGCCGTGTGCAAAGTCGCGCTGTTTTCCTATGGTTCCAGTTGCTGAAAATTCGTTGTGAATTCGAGTAACGAGCAGAAATCCCTTTCATGTGCTCGAACTTCCGGTTTCCGCCAGTTTACTACCTGCCAGCCAATATAGCGACCTCCTCCCTTTTACCATCGCGCGCTTCCTATACCAAGCTACTTGCATTGCGTAACTACTCATACTACAACCACTAACATAAATCACAACAACATCAATAGTAGTAAAGTTGCCTTTGAGCTAGGTTTATGATATGGAAGTTTCTTCTGTTTAGATTTGAAGAAGGTAAACGCACGCGCGCACACACGCGCATACTACTGGGTGAGTGAAGCCAAGTGCCTGAGAATGTATTCGCATATATTTTTTCTGCGCGCTTTTCGAGTGAAAAGTCTCGTAATGAGTTGGAAAGTTTGTAAAAAAAAAGCGAATAATAATAAAAAAATAAAAGAATCGAAAATGAGCTTAAATTTTACTTTTTCAGGATGTTTTGCAAATGAAAAGGTTTTTGCAAAAAGTTCAGTAAACGGGTTTTGTTTAGTGTAGTTCAACTAAAGATCGAAAAAATGAGAGTGCTTCCAATAAGCGAATCCTTGATTGAATCAATTCGACTTTAATTAGACCTCAAGGCATTGCGGCTTAGTTGTTAACGTGAACTACATTCAGGACTAGAGTGTAAACAGTTAGATAATGAGACTGCATCATTTAAGCCCAACCATCGTTTTTACTTTATTCTGAGTTTCTCCTTTGTGGCTGCATAAGGGGTAAGGAAGAGTTTTCGATCAGTATCTCGAAACTATGAGCCTTAGCAACAGTTTAACACAGAAAGAGGAAACACAGAAACGGATGGCTGTATATACGAGAGAACACTTCTTAAATTCTGTGTATCAACTTAAAGTCCTTTATGTATAGTAGAAAGTATTATCAGGAGATTTATTTACTAAATTCCTTCACCGCATAAGACGTATGAGCCTAATAAAGGAGACTCAAATGTTAATATCTATTTTATTAAATAAATCCATTATTATCATTTCTTTCTTGTTAATACTTTCATTACCACAAAACATGAAATCTTCCAAATCTTTAATTAAACGAAATGTAGAGGTTATAATAAAAATATTCCTTGAGTGATCTCTTCCACATCACAGCGTCAGCTGCTACTCTGAAGTGGTTGCATAAAATTTTCATATATAAACTATGCGAAAACTTTTTAGTTTTCTGTTTGTCTTGTGCATGTACACGTATAAGTTCGCAAAGCCATAATTTTTAGACAAATATTTTGTATGCCACCTTTTGCATAGAATTAATTTTAGCTATTTTATCGCTTCTCCTTCTTGTTTGCCGAGCACTACTACATACACATATTCGTACACTTACCGCTGCTTAATAGTCAACTGAGGCTTACTTTCATGGTTTAGTAAAATGAGAATAAATGAAACAAGAAATTTTAGGGTCTCTGTGCGTGCGGCTTTCGAGTCGAAGGTCCCAGAGGTCATCGCAGTATCATCTTCGGAGCAACAATGGAGACAATATATTGGGTCATACAAACCAAAACTTATGGAAACATTTTTGAAGCTTTTGATGTTTGTGAAGAGCCAGTAGGATTTCTCTACCGCTATTCGCCTTTGTTTTTTATATTCTTACCAATTTAATTACTTCTCTCTTGTCGTCTCCTTTCATCCAACCTTCGGTGATAATTTAGTTGTTTTACTTTTAGTACTGAAAAATTTTGATGCGAAGGTCCGCCAGCAAAAGAATAATACAATTTTGCATAATAAATAGCAACAATTTGCATAAGTTTCGTTGGAAAAGAAAGTTTTCGTTATTTGTCTGAAGTCAAATTATATAATGCGTACTAAATGAGCATTCGTGTAACTTAAAATTAATTGATACCAAAGCCTGTACCAAGAGTTTAATGCACCAATGGAAGCTGTTGATTCAAGGGAGCTCTTACCCAAAAGCAAAGAAAAGTAGCAGATACAAGACATTACTACCTTATCCTCTTAGAAGAGAGTGAGTAAGAGGTTGTCGTCGTCGGGGAGGAAACAACGTTTTGAACAACGTTAGATACTCCGACTGCAAATAAGCAGAAACTGTTTCAACGCAAGCCAATACAACCGTTAGTTTATTTCTTCAACTACATTTGTATAGAATCGCTCTTCCGATGAATTCCTGAAGGTGATCATCCAAACAAACAGACGTCCCATTTCTACAATAAAGATATTCAAACAAGAAACAAGAAAGATATTCAAACGTGAAAATGCACACATGTTTCAGTTAAGTGTCAGAAATATGTACTAAAAAGTTAGATGAGAAGCTTGCAAAATCACCTGTGCAATTTCTTATTTTTATGCTTCTCTGCTTCCGGAATTTACATATATACCCACATTTCCATTCACGCCAACACCAATCTATTTAAAGTCAATCAACTTCATCAACTAGACTACATAAATTGAAATTGAATGCAAATTTTCGCAACCGTTAGCCAGATAGAGAGCGCAGGAATCTGGAAGACGCGCAGGAGCACAAAGTTTTGTATTACAATTTTTTTTTGGAATAACAATGCTCCCACACAAAATTTTATTAGGACATCACGCGCCCATGAAGCGCCGCCATTGTTAGTGCGAGGGGACGCAGAGATAACTCTACATACTACGAGTATACGCAGTCGTTGAGAGAATTTGCTTTGCAATCAATGAAAATAGACAGACAGGTTTGGCTGACACATAGACAGTTACATACATCGAGATAAAAGCAACATTCAGTCAAATTTAGCGAAATTTATTTAGCCAATGAGCCAATGTATGTGTATGAACATATGTACACATTATAGTGGATGATGCGCCCACTGACATTCACATTACTATATATGTAAATTGAAAGCATTTAGTTAATTTCGTTCGTTGACAGGCGGATAACGTGCAGCGCCATTGCAATACCATATACAAGAAAGGAGAGCTGTTTTCGGTCATGAAAACTAGAAATATGGTATTGAACTCCCGCCCGCACAAAGTTGTGAATTAAGATAATGGATTCCTTTCCTTACTTCGATTAATATTTTATTGTTTTACAGTTTCCTTTTTTGCAATGTGGATACACATGCATGTTTATATGTACAAGAAAGCAAAGAAATCTAAAGAAGAAAATGTTTAAAAACATTTATCATTCTGATTAATGTGTGTTTAAATATTATTTATTCATTGTAATATTGTATCAAATAAAAAATGTAATGTAAAGTGCGGAAGTACATACATATATTGTACATAAATTTGTACAAAAAGAAACAAAAACAAAAAAATTCACAAATTCAAAAATTC